CTATTGCAGAAGGTCTGGAAGGAAGGAAAGGTACCTGGCGATTGGAAGAAGCGTTACCTTGTCAAACTCCCAAAGAAGAGCGACCTCAGTGTTTCCAAGAACTGACGCGGAATCACTCTCCTGTCCACCCCAAGCAAGCGAAATATCAAGCCGCATCATCCTGGAGAGAATAAACAATGCACTGGATTCAAAACTACGACCGGAACAAGCTGGCTGCCTTCAGGAAGTACAAATCACGTGCGGACCAAATTGCAACGCCACACTACACATCATCATAGAACAGAGTATAGAATAGCAGTCAACTGGGTCTTTATCTCAACTTCATCCACTTTGAAAAGGCCTTCGACAGCGTCGACCGACAAGTAATTCGGTAGGCAGCTGCTTCAACACTACAGAATACCGCAAACCTTTATCAACCTCATTCAACAACTATATGAAGACGCCACATATCAGCCAAGTAATTCACAATGGAAAGCTCAGCTCAGTGATGCTTTTCAAGTGAAGACAGGAGTGAAACAAGGCTTCCTGATTGTAGTGGACAGGATCATGCAACAAACAGTGAGAAGCGACAAGAGGGGGATATGCTGGACCTATGAAAAGAACCTAGAAGATTTGGATTTCGCCAATGATTTGTGTCTGATGTCACACAAACTCGAAGATCTACAGGCGAAAACTAACAAGTTGACACAGCGAAGACGGGACTTCAAGTGAATGTACAGAAGACAGAGGTGATGATGATACCCAACCAACGCCATCATCAACAACAAACTCCAATCACCATCAACGGGAGAAATTTAAAGGAACTCGCCTCTCTCACCTGTCTAGGCAGCATCGTTCAACTACAGGCGGCACAGATGACGACATCGAAACCAGGATCGAGAAGACAGCAAGACGGGCGTTCATTAACCTGAAACCAGTGTGGAGATCTCCTGCACTCAGCATAAAGCGTCCTTCTATATGATTCAGAGACTTGGTGTCTTACGAAAAGCATTTCCAACAAACTACAGACATTCATCAACAACTGCCTACGCTGGCTCGTTACTGAAGATCAGATGGCCAGAATAACAAGAATAAGCAACAAGAAACTCTGGCAACCAACCAACCAAGAACCTAACACTCAACAAATATGTACTGGAAGGAAGTGGAGATGGATTGCGCATGCATTGAGAAGACCATTCGCGGACATCACGCACCAGACCCTCAAATGGAACCCAAATGGGAAACGACGAGTTGGGAGTCCCAGCTGAGGGTGACATGGAGGAGATCGTGTGAGGAAGAAATGAGAGCGCTTCTGGGCTGTCGTGAAACCAGGTTCAAAAGACTGCATAGAACAGAGTGGAATGGAGACGTGTTACTGTAGCCCTATGTTCCACTAGGAACCCAAGGGACAAATAATATTATAATAATAATACATCGGGATAACACTAAATGGATTTTGAAATTGACTCTAGTATGTTGTAAGGAAACTCGAAAGCAGAAATGAAGCCAATGTTTAACATAGGCGCAGTTGAGAAGCACTTGAATCAGAAGTAAGCTGTTACGTGACGAGATAGAGACAGTGGTGTAATGTCGTTAACAGAACTACTTAGATATAATGAAAGTAATTTTTAAATGAAAGATGAAATTTTTAGGAACTGAGAGGAGCCATGAAGATCTTTGGTGAGATTAACCTAATACACTAATGTCGTTAAAAAAAGACAGGTGATATCACCTGAATTTTTAGAGTTGAAACCAATATAAATTATTACTAGGCTATATGACATCATTTAAAAATCAAAATGACGGTATACCACTAAGATAAATTTCAGACCTCTAAAATTCACCATTGCTTCCCCAACTGCTAGAACCAGTATGGAAGAGGTATTGGTATAGTCTTTACAAACAAATAGATGCAGTAGAAATGACCCATACTTACCAACCTACTTTTTGCCAAGTAAGAAAACGATATACTGAAATCGTACATACACTCGCTTGATATATGTTGGACACATGAATAACAGTTTCCTTTCATGTTGTATAAATAGTAACGTTGATGACCTGATGAACATTAAAGGGGCATATTGAAGGATAATTTTACACATGAATTCGAGAATAGAAACGAAATTCTTTTCTTAGATGTCCTTCTAACCAGATCTGATGTAAGATAAACTGTTACAAGTGAGCAGAGTAAACCATCCCAAAGAAGATTATATGCCTACTTCTAAAGCTTTGTGACTCCATAGCAAAAACTGAATTTGATAAAATCTAAAAAACGCACTCAGTAACTTGGTGCACATTCATACAGTAGGCAATGAGCCACACCTTTTGCCCAAACTTTGGTAGGTGGAACGGTGTTTGAACTCGTGACTCACTGAATTAGATGAGATGTGTGGCGGACAGAACGGGAAGAACTAGCTGTAAAGCTACAATCGAAACGTGTTCGGAGAAAATGGATGCCTGAGAATGTCATCAGTAATAATATTATTAACAGAATAGAGAACCAGTTACCTACATCTACAGTGAAAAGCAACTATTCCTAAGGTATACTATTATATCAGATGGGCACTGGAAATTATGTTCTTTCATTAACTTGATGATCAGATTAACAAATAAACTGAAACAATTCAAAAACAGAAAATGCTGTTTTCATTCAGTAAAGTAAATAGGCTCTTACGTTTAATGCCGAATAAAAACAAACAAGCTCATGTATCCCGGAAAATGACCTTATTAGAAAAAGATCATTTTACCTCTCTTTGGTCCATGTCAAGTTTAATTTAGTATATTTTTATCTGCACCAACTAAAGTCGAATACCACAATTCCTTCATGACTGCATTATTGCTTAAAAATATATTTTTTCTAACCTGTATGATTTATGGCAATAACGGGTATGAGTGACTGTGTAGCATAGAGTAGCACCAAATTTACTTTATCACCGTGTCCTATATCAAATACATAAATTTAATATGGAATTATATTCGGCAACAGTGTACAAATTCCATCCTTCCATAAGTAAGTGACTGCAGTCACAAAGAACTCGAGTGGTTTGAAGGATTCGGATCTCTAAGCTGTATCAGTCGGGATACACTGATGATAACCTCGATCCTAAATAAATGAAATGCTATCTAGTGTTTAAATCATCTTAATTCAACTGACAAGTATTGATGATCAGTATGAGTGATATACAACAACAACTAAGTCAGTTAGTGGCATATTCCATACAGCTTTCAAACTTGCAATCTTGACTCCTTTCAAGGTGTTTCCTATCCAAAGGTTATTTATGGTCAAATTTCACAGTAGATTCTCACTTGCATCATCCTTAGTAAAAACTGAATAGTTGGCAAACAGAAGACAAACAGAACTGGTTTACTATGAACGCTGATCTTAAACAATTTTAATACACGGTTTTTTATTGCATTGACTGGCAGAACAATAGTTAAAATACTCTTCCCTTTACTCAGCATCCTCCATTTATCAGTGAGTGATAAAATAATTAGAAAAACGATCATATAAACATCATTATCTTTTGAACATAACATCATACTCCGACAACCCGCATATTTTGTGGCACTTAAAGTACAAACAGCACTAAATTCACCACTCTTTACGGTCATTTTATTTTATTTACTCAAAATACTGACTCTCAAGCTTTTTTTTGAGATGTTTCATAAAAAACTTATTGATTTACAATTGTACAGTTTGAGCAAGTTGTTGAAAGTAACTAGCTAGCTAGTCAGAATTTGTTCTAATCATTTAATGGGAATCTCTGGATAAAAGAATAGTGAGTCTTCCTAAAGAAACAGAACATTTTGAAACGGATAAATTGGAATTCATGATTTCAGTAGTATCTCTGTGATTAACACGCTTCTTATGAAATCATAAAGAGTTTTCTTCACCTTACCTAACGAATCTAGGTTTCCGATTAAATGGAGTTGTCGTTCACTAGATTACATGCTCTTTATCTTGCATATATCAATTTAACTGTTTTTATGGCACAAGTTACATAGGGCGTAATATTAGGCAGGTGCGTCTACGGGTACGAGAACAGTTATCGGCCTTGTTTAGAAAAGGCAAAGTGAAAGTGATGAAAAGTCCCGTCCTAACCCACCTAGTAGACAAAGAGCATCACATAGATGCCAATAAAGCTTCTAATGTCATACACCGTATTCCGAAAACAACACCGTGTAGCTTGCCAACGCTTGTTCAGCATAGCTAAGGCTATCGCAGTAAGGTCGATCAAACCTGAACTGTGCACGTTATTCCTCCCTTGCCCTTCAATAAACTAAACGCCACTCCTGTCTTCGTTATTCGTTACCTTTTCGTTCACCATTACATTACTCATCTGTATATATGTCATCCTAACATTGAGAAATTTCAAAAAGAAAAGTTGATTTCCTTACAGTCCTGAAATCTCACTCCATTATGAAAATGTATTTGTCCCTTAACTGGCTCTATTTTACGCTGTGCAAATACACTTTATAATTGTAGAACCTCATGAGAACTTATTGAGAAGAATATTCTCCGTTCAAACCGTCAAGTATTCGAATTTCGCTCTATCTACCAAGCTAGTATCATCACAGTTCTATGTGGTTGTCGATTTCCATTGCCCGATGTCAATCATGGTAGTAGTTAACTAGATATGATGATAGACAGATAGATGAACATCAACATAGGAAATGGTATTACTAAATATCGGGGTCCAAGTTGCCATACCTGATAACAGTGCATCAAGCGAAAATGTACCAAGATGAAGAAGAAGGCAGTGATAGTGGTAGAAAGACGTCAAGAGTCCAAGAAGGAATGAGATATGGTGACAAACCTCTATGTACTGTGAAGCTTACATTGAGTTATTTCCCAATTTCTGATCATAGTATGCAGATATTAAGTCTCGCATATCATAACTATTTTGATGGTGATGCATTCATCAGTAAGAGTTAAAAATGAAACAAAATCCAATTTCAAAGGTTAAGTGTTTGAACATGCAGAGAGTTTAATAAGCACATTTCAAGGAGACTAAACTCACAGCTTTATCCATACTTTGTGCAGATGGTACATGGCCTAAATCAATAAAGGGATGAGAGAAAAACTGTTCATGATTTAATCGCTCAGATGGCTTTCGTTTCAGCAAACCAAGTATCAATGCTGCACAGGGTTTACTAATTTCGTTTGTAGAAGGCAACTAGACGAGAAGAAAACATAAAGAGAAAAAATCCTATTACACATCAACAATTTAGTGAGCTTTTAAGGGTTATGATTGCTGAATATTAAATGTAATGCCAATGGGAATTTTGTATGCTGTATAATTAGCAACTTTCAAGCAGCTAAATGCTACTCATCTTGAAATATGATGTATAACTCGATACAAGATTTCACACACAGATGATAAAATAAAGACACAAAAACTAAACGATATTTATCCTTATCATACCTGTAATAGTGGTGAACATGTCTATTAGATGGTTGAAGGCAACTGGCAAACAAGCACTGTACCTGTGTTTAGTGCCTGTTAGTACTCATCAACAGGCTGTGTCTGAAACTTCAAGGGGATTGACATCCCTTTAGAGGTCCAAGCTAGCTTCACCTAGTGAAGTCATAAACGTTGAAACTGAAGTATTTGGGTCACAAATGACCTCCTGTAAAACTGGATGACATAGACGTTTCATGTAGACTAAAGTATTTTCAAAAAATCGTCTCCAAGCTACAATTTATGTTATGATGCTACACTGATTAGAAGAATTTTATAATGCTATGAAAAGTATTTTTCATCTCAGTTTCTAATTACGATTTGCATTAATGTAGTGAAGATACTGTAGTTCATTGGATTCAGTAAATGAAATCTGACTACAGCATCGTATGGGACTTACTACGTTCATTACTCGACGTAGTAGTCATGATATGAAGGTGTTTTGGTAAAGTAGATTCATGAACTCTGTCCAAGTGCGTCAGAATTCATGTCTCTCATAATTATTGCAACATCTGAACAGTCAAAAAGAAGAAATACGAAGAAGAAATAAGAAAGTGGACCATAACGATGGTTTTACTATAACGATTTTTAATGTCTTTAAGTTTATCGGATAGCTATCATCACTTACGAACTAATTCTTATGTACAGAATAATGATGATCTTGTTTGTGGATGGATTAGTTGTAAAGCCTTTACTTTCTTTCTACTCTTCATGTTCTTATGCCTTTTTAAAGTAGCCTTAGGTATAACTAATATTCCCGAGTTCTGCAAGCTGATTCCACACTCCTTCCTCGTACTAAGAGTCGAACATATAAGTCTAAGTAAGATATAGTCTGTCAATCTGTTATTTAACGTGTCCATACACTTGATTATCCAGCAGCATTATACACATTGCATTTAACCTGTTATATATCATGATGCACACAATATTGTTGTTCATTACGTGTGTCAGTTTGAATCAACATAAGACATCACATTTCTGCATAACAGTCCAAGCAGTTACACTTCATCTCCGTCAAAAAACCGAAATGCACTAGGAAACTTTGTGCGCATTTGTTCAGTAGGTAATGAGCCACATCTATCGATTGCGGGCTAATGATACAACCAGGGTGCCAAAAACTCGATACGTACATAGGGTATCAAACCGGTGACCAGTTGGTTGAAAGTCATCTCCCTGAACACACTAGCGACAACTTCTTGTACTTTATCTCAGTAAATCAACGTCTTGAGTACCACGAAGAAACACAGAAAAGAGATTGAAAGCACCCAAAACTAGAAAATATTAGAAAAAGAACAACATGTACACGAAAGAAAAGTAAACAAGATATCACGATTAAAATAAGAATGCTTCGATGCATCTGTGCTATTGAGATCAATTATAAGACATTTCATGCATATTGTTTAACCACTAGGTTCTGTTGTCACGCCAATCCCAACTGGGAAGTCTACATTTCCGTACACTGCTCTCGCCAACAGTCGGAGACCTCATGTAATGATACCATGTTTTAATCTAACCTCCCCTAACCTTCTTTCAACCTTAACCTACTTCAGCTAACAATTACAATGTAGTGTAGTAGACGCTGACTAGGCATGCCCAACACATGTCCCAGCCACCCGAGTCAATGAAAGTTTACAACCTCACATCAAATGACCTACTTCCTTTATCTAAAACTCTACACCTGACTTCTGTGTTACTGACGTGGTGAGACCATTACACATCACCTATGGTATAAACGCAATCGTGGCTGAACACCTGAAGCCTTCTCACTTCCTCTACACCTTCAATGGCTATGTTTCACAGTCATCTGGTGGAATACAGTGAACCACAACACTGTACACTCCACCCTTCATAGGCAATCACGTATCGCGGCAACGCCATAAGCAGCATAAGTTGAGGAAAGTGGATCGAGCCATTTATATCTATGCAGAGATTTCGTCGATTGTTGGTCTCACCCACCAGGACTGATCCGACTTCCAGGTAAGTGAAGTAGTCGAGATCATCAACTACTTCACTTCCTATTGTTAGACATGACAACACTGAAGATCAATTATGCAGCAACAATTTGCATTTGTGTGGTGAGGAATGCATGTCAAATATTCTCAAATCGTCACATTAAGTGTCTAGAAGACTCCATCTCTTGCCAATATCCTCATCTCACATAACAGAGTTATGTCTTCTGTTACTGTCGACTGTCTATAAGTGCGTCCAAGTTCGAAGATCTCATGGAAATCGAAGGTCCAGTTCATAAACTCAACATCACGTGTGAAAACTGACAGTCAGTCAGTCAGTCGACACAAACCTCAGACCAGTTTCACATCAAACGGCGTATCACAAAAGCAATCATTCATTCATAACATCCTACTTCACCTTAATTCCCAAATATTCACATCACATTTACCTAAGCAACTTGTCTGCTTCCAAAATCCTTCTTCACAGCTAATCGATACACTATGATAAACATTGATCAATTCATGAGACTGTATCACATGCTTACTACACAATTCAGTGTCAGTAGAAATCTAGACAAATCAAATCACAGATAATCTCAATAAATCGATATGAAAGTAAGACTCATGTAAACGTGAACAGGCTTCTATTATTATACCATCATAAGCATTAAATATCAACAGTAGCAAACAGTTAAAGTAGTAACAGTTGTTTAACATGATAAGTGAATCACATGAAAAGAGGACACATAACGATCCCAGATTGACTAATGTAATAAAGAACAAGTGACATAAAGGACTTCAAGATGTCAATTCATGTTTTGAGGATAATAAAAGATACTGACATTTCACAGTGTGAAAAATAGTTGAAATGATAAAATGTCGATCAAACTGTAAGAAACTTTTTCGTTCCAGGAGAGAATAAAAGGGACAAGATAGGATATAAGTAAATGAAGCTACGTTAACATGTGAAAACGTCAACTAAGAATGCCGATGATTATGATGCCAAAGAGCACAAGTGAACGAACACATTAAGTGTCGAAAAAAGATTCATTATCTCTAACTTGAATTCAAAAACAACGCTGCTGCAGAAGATGATTACCACGATTTTAAGTGGAACACACGTTACCACCAACCTTCAAATAAATTTCTCCTGCAAAAGCTTTAATGTCAGTGTGAAAGCCAAGCTGACATGTTGGGGCAGATAAATATGTAAATACCAGTTTGCTTGCTACTGTGGAGCTGAGTGCATTGGCCGTAATCTGCGGCCGCTTGTAAAACACTACCCGGCCTGACCAGCAAGGCGAGAACGGAGATATATCTTCAGCTCAACAACAGAACACTTTGAGAATTCAGGTAACTTAGCTTCATTTGAGAAATCTTTCGAAATCATCTACAGGGTTTGATGGAGCGACACAAAGGGAGTCAGACCAAGGGATGTGAGCATAGTTGAAATGCTAGAAATATAGAATTTCAAACCGGTGCTGCGTCTAGAAAAAGTACATTTAACCTTTGCCATGGCCATCGGATGTCCTAGAAAAATTCCATGTTACTTAATTGTATTTAATTTCTTAATCTCCTACTTATTTTCCTATTCTAAATCCTCATTTGTATTAGGTAGCTTTTCCTTGTTATTCAATATATTTTGACCTATGACTGGAGATAACCCTTGAATGTTCTATCCTTTGTAATATGTACTCAGGAATGTGCAGCTTAGCATATGACTTCATCGAAAAAAGTGTTTTTCTTTCGCTGCAAACGTCTTGTTTGCATTTCCTTGTGATTATATGGGTGTATTCTGCTGCACAAAACTCTTGCAATCTCGTTTCTGTCTCAATCCAAAGAGATGGCCTAACCTAGACGTTAAGCGATTTCTAATAGGATATGATATCGTAATCGATTCATACGTTAGTTATTTTCTGAAGCTAACTATCGCTCTAATAGGATAACCTTGTTTATGAATCTTAAAAGTACCTTGAATTTCTACTTATGACTATTAGTTTCAGATTTAAATCACTTAGAAGTTTAGTTAGTTCTTGAGCACCTTTAAATCGATCGAAATCAGGTGTTTTGTTGAGAGGTTGACCGACCACTTTGCTCGACTGATTCACAGTGGTCTTACTCATTGCTTCATTCTCTTCAGTGAGTTATTAATCTTCCATCAATTTGCTAGACTTTTTCAATTTTAGTATTTCTGGTTTAAGTGGAAAAACACTTTGTTCGGACACTAAGCTACAGATATGAGAATTTAAACAACCTTTTCGAATCGTCGGGTTAGAAGACTGAAATGTCACTCGACAAGAGAGCTTAATAAGAACCCAGACAAAGCAGACAAACAAATTCAGTAGCGTATCCCATAGTGCTCCAGCGTTTGAAGTTATGGCCACAGAGATCGAATCTCAGTGGGAACTATCCATGATTAATATCAGACTTCAACTATCAAAAGTAACCAGTCATGCGTGAAGGAGTTCATATGCCTATGATGACCAATCAACTCGGTTTAATCAACCATAGGAAACTAAAACCTATAACATCAAACACAAACAGATTACGATCGGGAATAAACTGCTCGTCGATTCAAATTGACACACTTTGCTCGAGTGCATTGAGTATGAAGTTAACATAAAAGAAGATACAAAAATAACGTCAGCACTAAAAAAAAGAAACTAGAAGACGAAGATAAGAGGTAATAAAAGGAGTGAAAATATTACATAATATAAATTTCAAGATTTAGATGCAGATATGAATGCCCCCGTGCTCTTTCAATAATTCAGTAGTTTTAGCCATTGAATTACAATTCATGACGTATTATATGATACAGTATAGCATACTGGTTGAAATCTTCCTCAAATATTTCAAACGTATGCAAACAATTTAAACTTTTGGTCGGATTATATGCATGATTTAAACTGCAAAAAAAAGTGTAATAAGCTGAACATAATCAAGAAATATCTAACAAGAACTTCTCACGAGATAAAAACCAAGGTTGGTAGGAAACCTAAATAGCAACAGAACCCAAAACACAGGATTCCATGTCACCGTTTGGGTTCTGCGTAAACTGAGTTGCAGGAACCAACTGATAACGAGGTCTTATTTTCACTTGTGTACCTGGATGCTTTGTAAACCATAAACATGTAAGTGAAATCCTAACCCGTTTAACAGTTGAGACTTATACAACAATTGATGGAGCAGAAAGCGACAACCTGAATACCACCGGTCCCAATCCTATTGCTATCAAGATTTTTTTTGCGCATCAATCCCCATCACTGCATAAAACAATTATTCTACCAATGAACGCTATCTGAAGCAGTCTAAACAATAAAACGACCTGTCATAAAAATGGTAGTAATAAATTACCTCAATAGGTTCATCTTTTACCAACTTCTCCTTTAACTGTTGAATTGTTGCATGACCGTATGGAGGACTACCGAATAAACATTCTGTTTATTTAACACGAATAAAAGGATAAGGAAAAAATAGCTAAATTTATAAAATATGTACAGTCGCACAAATATGATAAAACTGGGGATTCCAGAGAATTGAAGGACGAGTGCATGGGGCAATGTGCTTTCCACATATTTAAGCTACTCATAGGAAAATAGACTTGACAATATAAAGCAAAATAACAAAGCTTCAGATGTTATAGTGACCATAGTAACTTAAGTGTCAGCTTACTCCAACTTCAGCTGAATTCATGATGAGTAGTATAACTGTCTCAAAACCAGTGAATACATAGTTGGTTTTTGAAGACAAATATTCATCAAAACAAACAGTATGCTTTACAGCTGTTCGTAAACGATATTGAGTAAATTTGAGAACCAAGACATGTTTAAAAAAGGACACCGTTTTTCGCATCGACGCACCATACACTTTCTGAAATAGGAACCTAAATAGTTTAACCAACAAAGAGGATGACTGAAACTCAACTACTTGCATCGACTAGTCAATATCACAAGGCTTCAACGTACAAATAACTGGTAGTTATTTGAACCATCTCACTTTCATTTATATGACTAAATACGTGACTAACCTTAAAATTAAATGACTCCGATGCATTTAGCAAATATACTGCAGAAATTTATCGTCAAGTGAAAAGTCGTATGTGCAGTTACGAGTCAAACTGTGTTTAAGTCTAAAAAGTATGCTTGTCGTTACAAAAAGTGGTGACGCGGATTTCGGTCACACTCCTAATATAGGGTATATTGTACCCACATAAATGCCCAATAGCGATTGTAATCAAAAAGCTCTCAGCAACCTTGTAGATTAGGCAATCAGCCTAACCTACTGTGTGAGGGATAATGATACTTCCCTACCCTAACCTCAGAAGGTGGAGCAGTGTTGGAACCCGTGACTCATTGATTTAGGGCGAACTGCCTAAACCAATGAGTCATAGCTTCACATACTGAGCAAATACATACCTGAAAACCACTAAGAAACAATTGGGTCATCGAAATGTGTGATTAATGGATTCGAGCTTGAAGTAAATGAGGAAAAAATGATTCCTTGGGGTTGTAAATCAGGTTGGTGCTAGAAATCCCACATTTACTCAGAAGTTAAGTTCATATGAAAAGTCAGTGATGCACTGTTCAAAACATACATGTGAATCACGGTTCAGATGGTCTGATAGCAGTTTCTGCACTATCACTTCAGCAATTAATTATCATCCATTGAAGCACAGAAATACAATGAAATAGGTATTAGAATGTATAATGATAGGAAAAGAAGGATAACCCTGCGTTGAAAAAGCAACTGAATCATGTCCCTTATCTACCGTATCCGAAAAATTGCATGTCTTGGTCGTTAAACTAAGAAAGCCAACGCTTCTCACAAAAACCCGGCATTGAAAACAGAACAAAACAGAAACAAAACTATGATTTGGGGATAAAAATATGACAGTAAAATCAAATAGGAAGACCTAACTATTGTATTGTGATTTAACCCAACACTTCTTTGAGTTTCTAAAACCTTTAGAGTCACTCAAAGTCTGCTCATTTTTATTTCCTGTACCCGTTATGATCTCTTTTACAGTTCGTATCGTGTTTACAAGTATCAGGAAGTTTTTTTCGCTCCTTCACTTGTTATCATGTTTTATGTTGAAAATTCTGTAGATAAAAGTATGCAAATGAATTTGATGTTTAAGCTGAGAGGATGAACTTAATGTTTTGCACATATGTAAAGTTATGGCCAGTTAGTTTCAAGCCTAATCAACTTGAAAACTATTCCAGTCAGCATAAACATAAGTGAGAAATCTGGCAACTGATAATGAACAATATTTTTCTCAACAGATAAAACATACTTTAAGGTAAAGTTTTGTTTAACTTACCGTATAAAATGATACCAACGGACCATAGATCACAGGATGGATGATAAACACCTTCACAATATATTTCAGGTGCCATATATAGTAGTGTACCACGAACTTCATTCTTTCGAGCTGTACCTTCGATACACTGAGCGAAACCGAAATCTTACGTGTGAAAAGTGATGGAACAAATGATTGTTGTCATCAGACAGATATGATGAGTAAGAATAAAAGCACATACAAATTAAGAAAATACGTCATATCTAATAACTATGTAACAGAAAAGAGAACACCACTGCATTGTATGCTCGAAAATTGAGGGATTTTTAAGTATATCTCCAGCACTAAAACTTATAACGGCTCTGTGTATTATCTCATTCGAAAAACAGATCAATACACGAGTGGTTAACAATATATAGTTATTTGGTATTCATGAATAAGAACGAGATACATTTCAGCGAAGACATATTTCTTTTCAACGACTTCACTATCAAGCTGAATAAATGGGTGTATTTCATCAATTGTTTGCTATTCCCTATAGTACTAGACACCACTTACTTTCTAATGATAGTGTGAAACAACTCAAGTTCATCATCCTGGTGCATGGATAGAATCTGAAGTGTGCATAAACAATGAAATAAGGTTAAAATGTTTCCCGACAAAATACGTGATCACAGATTTGATATCTTCACCTAGGCTCAGTTACAGTGTATGAAATAAGAGTTCACCAAACGCCACTTTTAGAGCACACATACGCATATACTTAGGTGAGCGCAGAGGGAATTACTGTATTATCTTCTGCAAAGCAACTGTTTTTAGAATACTGGAGAAGAATCATAGATGTACCGTTGAGAAACTTATTTTGAATTGGGTTGGAAAAAACTGGGCCTATTACCAAAAACGAAAAACCAAGAGGCAGTGATATAACATCAAGGCAGCTACATGTATTGAAATGAAGATCTAACAAAAGCCTAAACATGGATCAGAAACAACTATGAGTTAAGGAGTTTGTGATAAACGGATCGATAACTAATTTCTGAATTCACTAGCTCATCATAATCAAAAACTGCTACGAATTTAGCTGGTAAGAATACCACTTGAAAGACAAAGTCTCTAATCCCAAACATGAAAACCCGGAATACTAAACAGAGCACTTCAGAGAAAAGTTTAACCAGCACTCAATAATCCATAGAGTTTCTGAATACATGTATATAACCAAACAACCACATGGACTATTGTGTGAGGCCCTATGATATTATCTGGCTGCCGGCAAATTGACTAGTGGAGGGAAATTTAAATCCGCGGCCACTAGTTGAAAGTCAGCCACCGAGACTGGTGAGTCACAGTTTCTTAAGTGTTTCTGCGACATGCAGACGGTTGTTTACTCGGTCTAAGAGTAAGAACTACCCATCTGCCAATTTTATGAAGTTAGGATGACTAATAATCCTAGTGGTGTGGTAAGTGTATGTACGGAATTGAGTTCATGAGGAGAAAGTACACTTCTTGATTGAAAAAAAGTTGGCAATGACCTATGCACTGCTCAAGAGAATGGTACAGAAATTATTATGAAAGACTGTTACGGGTGCTAACGCATATTTGTACTCTCAACCTATGCATAAACTTATAACACTTTCGACAAAGTGAGAAATGACTTTTGCCGGTAATTGTCAATATGGTTCAGAAAGGAAAGAAATACAGATGTAATCAAGCAAACCCTAAGAAGTATTTAAAGACGGTAAGTTAAAATTTGTAAGTTACACCAAATTACGTAGTAACTAGGACGTGGGACAAAATTTGACTCCTTTGGTGTCGATACCATATTAAATTTGTTTATTTCATATGGCACGAAGTGATACAGTAATGTTTACCTAATAACATTTAGAGCATAAATTATTGCGCATATGCATATCAATGTAATCACACAACCATCGATATCTGATTTCGATAGTCCTATCATCTTATATTCCTTGCTTTTATTACTAGTAAGATTTTCCATATCTCTGGTATAGGTGTTGCATCATTTCTATTAAAAGTGTTGGGTGATGATTCGATGAACAAAGATTCGGTGACCAATCTCTCTATTTCCCTAATTATATTGGACTTAAGCACAGTCGCTTTATCCCACCCTGTTGTGTGGTTGAGTGTTAATGCATGCGCTGCAATAGCCAAATACTCTTCCAAATTGTTGATTCTATTGGGATCTGTCGTCCTATACTTGGTTAAATTCATATGTTCTGATGATCTAATTAACTTTGAAC